AAGGGTCAGCACAGCCTTCTCCCTCCCTGCCCTTGCTTTGCCCCAGCCCTGCCTCATCCCCCAGAGGAGGCAGCCCAGGAGACTAACAAGGCTGGAGAGCCAGCGCTGGCAGTAAGAGCTCATGCCCTTTCCCCCTGCACCTAACCTGAACCATGTTATAGTTTGGGCCTTTCCACCATCCCCTGGCAGAGAGTTCCACAGGTTGACAATGAAGAAATAATTTGTTTTGCATGTTTTAAATCTGCTGCCTGTAAATTGAACTGAGTGACCTTCTTGTGGTGTTCTTGTGTTTTGTGCTCAAATAACCCCTTCAGATGGCTACAAGCCAGCTCTCTCCGTGTTGGACACTATAGGAATTGATTTATTAAACAGCATCTAATCTTTTAATAAAAAGCAACCAAGTATTCTTACTGTGCCCTGGTAACGCATCTGTCCATTTTAAAATGAGCTGCATTTTAAATGAGTGCTACCAGACTAATAGTTGTATTTAAAAGTTTCCCTTTTCACCACAGGGTGGAGTTCTGCCTCTGAGTTTGGTTTAATTTGCTCTTCAATATCTTTGACAGATAAAAAACTTGAACAGTGGCTTTTCAAAGCTGAAGACTATTGTGCCCTTGATCCCCAAGGACCGGAAACCCAGTAAGGTTGACACGCTTAAAGCAGCCACTGAATATATACGCCTGCTTCACTTGATTTTGGAAGAAACCGGCGGTTTTGAGGTACACATGAACTTTCCTGTCTATGTAATACATCTGTGATTCACTCATGGGCTGTGTCTAGACTGGCAAGTTTTTCCGCAAAAGCAGCTGCTTTTGTGGAAAAACTTGCCAGCTGTCTACACTGGCCGCTTGAATTTCCACAAGAACACTGACTTCCTACTGTCTGAAATCAGTGCTTCTTGCGGAAATACTATGCTGCTCCCGTTCGGGCAAAAGTCCTTTTGCGCAAAAGGGCCAGTGTAGACAGCTCAGATTTGTTTTATGCAAAAAAGCCCCAATCGCGAAAATGGCGATCGGGGCTTTTTTGCGCAAAAGCGCGTCTAGATTGGCCATGGACGCTTTTCCGCAAAAAGTGCTTTTGCAGAAAAGCGTCCGTGCTAATCTAGACGCGCTTTTCCGCAAATGCTTTTAACGGAAAACTTTTCTGTTAAAAGCATTTGCGGAAAATCCTGCCAGTCTAGACGTAGCCATGGGGTCTTGGTACCAGCATGTATGTGAAAGCAACTTAATGATAACTCTTAAAATCATCACTAACATCCCCCACTTAATTACCCTTATTAACAGGAATTAGGTATGGGTGGGGGGAAGGGAAAGTAAATGTTAAAGTAATTTTTATAAAACTTTTTCACACTTTTCTTTACCTCTCCCCCCACCAGTCTAGACGTAGCCATGGGGTCTTGGTACCAGCATGTATGTGAAAGCAACTTAATGATAACTCTTAAAATCATCACTAACATCCCCCACTTAATTACCCTTATTAACAGGAATTAGGTATGGGTGGGGGGAAGGGAAAGTAAATGTTAAAGTAATTTTTATAAAACTTTTTCACACTTTTCTTTACCTCTCCCCCCA